ACCCCCCCCCCCCCCCCCCCCCCCCCCCCCCCCCACCCCCCCCCCCCCCCCCCCCCCGGCGCCGGCGCGCCCCCCCCCCCCCCCCCCTTCTTTGCTTGCTTCATGCGCCTGCGTTGTGATAGGAATTGGTATGATAATGACCACGAAGAGAAAAAAAAGAAGAAAAAAAGAGACGAACCCATGAAAAGGTAATTGGTATCAGGATTTGGACCACCAATTTTGAACAGTTCCATGAGGTCGTGGAACTGGCCGTGGATATCGCCGCACACAGTGACGGGACATTTCTATCGGGGGTTAGTTAGTAAAGAGCATATGCTTCTCACGCCAGGTAAAACATACCACTGGCTGAACGTTTGATTCCTCTTGTAGGACCTCTCGTGCCTGAATGGGGCGATGTTAGCACGGTGTACCGAGCCATCGAATAGGACATGGTCGGCAGTAATTAAGTAGCCAGCAATGGCAGCCAAAGTGTGGGCGTATGATTGTGTGTGCATTTGCTGTTCCACGATAAAAGGGAGTAGCGAACCTTATCGCAGAGCCTCTGGACGTCAGCCTCGGCTAGCTGTTTGCAGTTCATAAGACTCTCGATCCAGCCATCCAGCGTAGGAATGGTAGCAGGTTCTGAAGCAGGCATAGGGGCCAACTCGGTAGGGACCCGACCAACATCCTCCATGTTGGTATCCATATTGGCTGGCGGCGGGGGCTGGAGGATTACGAAATATAGATGGTGACGGCGCTAGGGCAATGGTGCTAGCAGCAGGTTAGGGCCGTATGGGCGACAGCGCGGCGTAATGCGAAATCCTGATGTCTTCGGGATGGCAACAAAGGGCAATGATAATGGCTGCGTTGCGATGGTTCGTCTCGGCTGTCTAGGTGGGCAGTATGAATGATGTCGCTATCGGGCACGCGCGATGGTCGAAGCAGGTTTAGTACAGACACAGAAAGGGTGGGGTCGGACTGGCTGGTTGGATTGGATGGTTTGGGTATCGTCGTCACGCAGCGGTATTACAGTAGTGAAAAGGCAGACCTTTACGCGAGAGAGGCCCTGTGGTCGGAGAAGGAAAAACAGATACTAGATGGAGGACGTCGTTGTCATCAGCCTCTTTATGGGCTTGTTCTTTTTGTCGCTGGAAGATGGGAGAGGTGGGAGAGATGGGAGGGTGGGAGGATGAACATTGGAATTGCGATGTTGTTTTTTTGCGAGGCGCAGGAAATTCGCTCGGAGGTACCGCGCCAGTACATGCATTGTATTGAGCCTACGCCTGGGCTGTAGCCTGTAGGTATCTACCTAAGGGCTTGATAGGCAGGCTGACAGGCTGCTGGCTGGCTAGCAACAGGCTACCTAGGCAGGGAGATAGCGAAGGCAGTGAAGAAGGTAGAAGGTAGGTGTACCTATCCCATAGCGTAGCAGTACTAGTCAAGTACCGGCTGTAGGTCAAGCAGAGTGCCAACCAAAGCTTTCCATCCCTCGAGGCGTGATGAAACGAACACAGTTCGCTTAAAACGCAGCTCTTCTTCTTATCATCCCCTGGCTTGTAGCTGTAGCTGTTCTATCGATCTATCCTTCTGCACAGCTTTTGCATGGGATATCTAGCCTCGTCAGCATGCCCATAACACGTGCTCTAAAACATTACATCAGAATTGAGAAATCAATGAAAGATTAACCTCAAATCCAAATAATAATTACCTACCTCTTACCTAGTAGTCTGCCTAAATACATAATACCAATAAAGATGACATATAGTAGGTAGGAAGAGCCCATAGAATGGCTATATAATTCGACAATACTTCGATAATCCTTGAATCTCGTAGCACATGTTATATCCCTATATTGGGCCATACCACGTACACATTCAGCCCTGACAAGGAGCCTGGGTACCTAGGTAGGCAGGTATGATGTTTTGAAGAGCCTACTTTATACTTGTTTTCTTAGCTAGGATATGCATATAAACTGACAATGCCGCTGCCTGCCGCTAGATGGTACATTGTATATTTACTTCCGATTATGACAGACCAAGCCCAACAGGGGTAGCTTCATCTGTCTCGTTCTGTGGTATGTCGCTACCGACAAGGTCCCTGAAGTCAAGTTGAACTGCTTCTAGCATCTCAGCATGAGCCTTGGCCCGTTCCATGCACTGGACCCATACTTCGCCGCCTCGTTCGGTACTGCTTAGTTGCCTACCGAGGATCGTATTGAAGGCGTCAACCTCCTCCTTGGCCCATTTAACGCATGCGCTCATCATCGCTTGGGGAAAGCAACTCTGAAAACAGCTGACTGTATTCCTTATGATGCTGAAATAAACAAACGACAGCTGCCATATATAAAGGTGCAGGTCGCCCTGGAAGATACATTGCCTGCGTAACGAGTCAATACCTCAGCTCCAGACTATCTTGCTATGGTCAAGTAACGTACCTGCATCGTTTCTGTATCAAATCGCTCCGTGCCTCGAGGTATGCCTCTCTCGCTCGATCTTCGAACTCTAGCCTGTTCAACCAGCTGACATTGCGCCTCGTCTTTTGTGGCTTATCGTGTGCTTCTACCAACTCCCTTACTATAAAGCCGGCAAGTTTAGAGCTTCTTTCTTCCACCTTAAAATTGATAAAATCTTGAGCGATAGCGTTACTTTTGAGCCCTCTAGCCAAGCTTTTTAGCTTCTCTACACGCTTGACAGCTTCGTCAAAGCGTTGTAACGCAATATCAATGTCGAGCTCGTCCATTTGGCCTTCAACCCAGCGCAAGTTCTGCTGCTTCCCATCTACTTCAATCAACATGTCTTTGATATCAGATAGTGTTTCGAGTAATTCTGTCTTCTGCAATAATCCAGGATCTCGAGATGCAAAGTAGTTGATTGTTTCTTTGGCCTTATTATTTGCTTCCATCTCAGATTGTAGGCCCTTGCGCAACTCTTCAACAGCCTTGCGAATATTAAGTAGCAATGCTGACTTCTCGGGGTCTTCGGGTTTCTCCGTCCGATAAATGAAAGATTCCTGGCCAACCCCTCGAACCATGACGGCGTCCGCTAGCTTGTTCCTGCCACTATAAGCTTCGCTCGTTGCAGCCATATCCACGACTTCAACATCCAACAGAGGCCAACAACGATCCGCGACCAATTTAGTGGCCGGCCCACGCACGTCGTTAGGATTTTCTACTTTCCGTTTCTTGCGTGAGGCGACTAGAAGATGGTCGTTCAACAGAAAGATTTGCATAGATCGTCTGGATTTATAAGTTGCATTGTCCAACTCAATCCAAGGCCCAGCGTTCTGAACCACATGTCTACCCATAGAATTGGGAAGAAACTTCTGAGAACCTTCGACATTCTTGTATAGTGCCTGCATCTGAGAGTTCCATAAGGCGGTCCTGTCAGCCACTGAGCTTCTCTTGTCTCTTTTGCTTAGACCTGTGGAGAAATCTCCGGCAGTGCTATCTTTGTTAGATGCGGCTCGTAATGCGTTTGTATTTGTCTCTAGTTCTTTGAAAAGATTACGAAGTGAACGCATCTCGCTTTTCAACTTCTCGGCCTCCTTACTTATCTTGATGAATTGTGTACGGTTTTGGTAGACATTTTGCTGTAGGTCACTCGACGCTCTTGCTTTCAACTTCCGCAGGGCGTCTTCATAGTCCCGAATCTCATCCTCAGTTGCCTCACTGAGAATGGCGGCGACGTATTGGTCAGGGACTAATCTGGGATCCCGTAGAGCTTTCGGATCAACTGTTGGTGGAGCCCCACCTGGACCGCGTGATGGAGGCGGCCGCGAGTTTACTGATTGATCATATTTCGACAGGTCAAGGTTGGGCATGGAGGGGACAGGTGGTTTCTCGGCATCAAAGTCTGAGGGTAAATTGTTGAACCGCGTAGAGTAACGACGCTTGACAAGATCACCGGTCTTTCCGCCCGTTGATGGAGGCGGTCGTTGGCGTGGCGGAGGTACATTATCGGTAATGGCGGCCGGTCTACCCCCAACGCTCCTGGGAATAGGCGGGCCATCATTATTGGGGATAGGTGCCGATATCTGCCTCGGCGCACTAATCGTCGGGCGGTTCTTCCTCTTGGGACCCTTCCGAAGTGAGATTTTACTTCTCTCTTCAGACATTGCGTAATAATGCGACGAGGATAGAGGGCGTCTGGCGCCTGGCGGTAGGTAGGTAGGGGATACACTGTCGGGAGAGACGACGAGGTTCGATATGGCACCCAATTGGCGCGCGGCTTGAAGCCAACTGTACGTCAAGGGACAAAGTAGAGGAAATCAGACTGTCGTAGACAAGTCTGGAAGCTAGAAAAGTCGGAACAGGTCGCCGGCCACGTAGGTACAAGTTCAATCTGTCGAGGAGCCAACGAACAGCAACTCTACGCAGATAATGAGATGACGATACCCAGTGGTTGACACGAAACACGGAGCTGTAGGTATTAAGCGCAAGCTGGGCAGTGCCTGTAACTATGTCCGTAGAGTGAAACAGGTACGTACCTCCGTGAGGACCTGCACAAGGTACCTACATACCTAACGGCCCACCCGCTACAGGTACCCATTATGTAGCTATTATCTGTCACCCTACCTACGGGTTGCACTCTAAGGACTCTGTAAAGTATATACTTGATAGATCAAATAATATACGGATGTTAAGAGGTCTGGTCGCAAGAACTACTAATTGATATATGGTTAGTTGTCTATGATCATGAGTAGTTGAGAAAGGGCTGCCTGAGTCTCCCTTAGTCTCAGGTAGAGCGATAGCTCGATGACCCAGGTAATAGACAACAGTGAATCGCATCTATCTTGTTAAACATGAAAGTATAGATCGCAACAATGTATTCAACGAGGAGGCCGAAGATAGAAGACGGTTTCGAGCTTTATAAGAATGAGCATACTGACTTGTGCGACCTCTAGGTGTATTGTTGTTGGGATCGGGATGCTCTGAGCTTTTTTGGTAGATATGAATAGAGTGTCACAAGACATCAACAAGTTTTAATTTCCAGGATTGGAACCGCAACGCTTCAAACTACTATGATTCCATTTACCTGCACTGATCCTAAGATCAATGGTGCATTTAGTTACATGCGGAGATAACAGAGGATTATACACAATTTCGAACACGCCATATCCCTAGAGAATAGTTTATATGACTTGCTGCTTTTCTCTCAGTGAAGCTATTCAAGATAAGATCGACCTTCTACGTAATCCATGTTGCCCTACTAGACCGAGTAACATACTTACTTCTAGGAGATTTCTGATCAAGTATGGTAGCTTCATCAGCAACCGGGTCAACTCTACAAGTACTGGTGCACAACCGGCGATTCCAGATAGAAAGAAGGCTGGGCTACTGTCTTGAATACTGTTTCTTGTGGATTAGTTCATCTACTTGTTAACCTCACATTTCTAATGCACTGTCATTACACCATTGCACGGCATAGAACACAGGACACTGTTTGATACGCATATTCGATATTATTCTCAAATACCTCATAATACGCTACGCCTAGGGTCTTTGCATCAGCCACGGAAAACCTACATGCAATCATCACTTACACTTCACTTAGGCTTGGCAGCCGAGGAACTGAGGTCTTCTTTGGCTGCCTGTTTCAGCCCTATGGGTGTACCAGCGCTTAAAATAGCTTTCAATACAGGGGCGGCGCACGGGCGATCGATCAACTGCTGCTGTCGGCTTTGACTGCTTGGTCTATCGTTTACGGTACATCATTCTAACCCACCGTAGAAGGCTGTGACAGTTCGCGCTGTCAGATTACCGGTAGTCTGTTCCTTTCTTCGCTTCAATCCCTACATTACCCAACGATGGTATCTGATTATGTCATCATCCTCTTATCTCGGCTCTTAATTATAAGACACGATGTTGCGAGTCTTGAACCATAGTCTTGGCCTATTTCAAAGTATTACTGATGCCAGTCAAGTCTTCTCCCTGTCGCACAACTCCAATATTGAGAGTCTCATTTTGAAAACAGCCTAAGAATCATGGATATTTCGCAATTTGCTTCTCAGCCTTCAGATCCTACGTGGGAGGAGCCTCGGTACGAGTTTCTAAACGTTATTCACTTTCCCAGAGATGACAATGGAGATTTGGAAGATCGCCACCGCACCATAAGCGATCGAGCAAAGGCTTTGAACAATATCAGCCAGGAATTCGTGAGACTTATTGGGCTTAACGCACCTCCGAGCCAAGTTGAGTGCTTTATAAAAAAATGTGAAGTTACTTCGTTGAATAGCTCACCCGCTGTGCAACCAAACGTATTTGCATGGCTCAATGACACGGATGCCCTGCGGTGGGCGTCCGAAAACAACAACGAAGAAACAGTTCGCTTACTTCTAAAGCGAGGGTTTTCTGTACGCCCTTGGGCTGTCCTATTTGCTGCGGCAAAGCTAAAAGAAACGAAGAACACCACAATCATAGAGCTGCTGCTTAACTCTGGATGGGATATCAATAAGCCACTGGGGGAGACTAGGCCGCCCTTACTCTGGTGAGTTTCGATGTTCCTCCCACAAGCCTATTTCAATAATGACAACATGCTCGATCTTTCGTCCCGCATTTCCATAGCTAATGCTGTCTAGCATGGTATTAGAGGTTCCCGAACTTGTGCATTGGTGCCTAGAGAGAGGAGCTGATGCCAGCTTATCAAGCCCTTTAGGATTAACAATTATCGAGGTTGCAGCCAGCTGCGCCTCCCTTGACACGTTGAAGCTCTTACTCGAGAGGGTAGGCAGCTCTCGGCAAGGAGATGCAGTGGCACGGGCATCCTTAGCCCATACTAACGACAGCCAGCCCGATCGCGTGGAAGTGGTTCGGTTTCTCTTGGATCAGGGTTATCCCATTGACGAATGCTACCAAACCCGCGACCCGGATCCAGATCACAATTGTGCGGAGATGTTCTTCGGAACACAGAACGCGCTGCACTTTGCCATCTGGAGTGGAAAAGAGGACATGGTGCGGCTTCTCTTAGAAAGAGGCACTGACAAGACCAGACCCACGAGATCTGTTATGAAAACAGATTGGAAGACACTTTCACCGGTGGAACTTGCGAGGAAATTCGGACACTTGAACCTTGTCCCGCTGTTAGAAGATGAATGAATGTACTATGTATGGCCATATCTTCCCATGGCTGACGGGGACTATGTACCCCCGAGAGAACTATACGGGACAAAAGCTCATGAGGCTCACAGTACTACTGGAAGCTTCAGCGCCTGTTCATGTTGTTGCTAGTACATTGTACATTGAGATGCGGAGGTACCTAGGCAGGTACATGTAGTCGACAGAAGTGGGGAAGCCTAAATACCTAATATATGTACCGGCACCGCAAGCACACATTTTCTTCCATTGACCTTAATCTTTCTTCATGGAAAGAAGGCTAGGATGGTTCGGGTATATTTCAACTCGACGACCGGTTCATCAATTGTACAACGTAGGCATCTTGGGGATCGGATTGGCTGATGAGTAGCAGGTATATAAGGTACCTGCGGAGTACCTAAGTATCTATATGTACCTACCTAAGGTAACGTCAGGTGGGCTGTCTCGCTGGGTGGAGCCCGGCTCTAGAGAGTCGAGGAGAGTTAAAGTGCAGTGGGCCACTCGCAAACCCAGCGAGCCCAGTCCGCCCGCCCATAAGTGGTAGCAAGTCATACAGTGATAGGTAGGTAGGTACCTAGGTGGGAAGTAACTGACCTGGTCCCGACCACAGCTGGCCTACAGTAGGTTAGCTTATCACCGCGGGTACGTAGCTCTGCGAAAAAATTATGACAGTGAACGAACATCCTCAGCAACAACCTTGAACTCCAAGCTACCATCCTATTCCAGAATCTTGCATCCGTTGCATATCAACAGGCGGAGCCAACCACACACACCCAACCCTCTCTCCCGCTATCTATTTTCTATTGTGATAGACCCCCTTCCGTCATCTGTTCTACACGCTTGCGTTCTGTTTCCCAGCAATCGGGAACTGTTCGAATAACCAGTTCGCCCATTTGACCGACCAAGCAATCCACCCACCCACCCTGTCTGCCTCATCTAGCCTCCTCACCTCCAAAATGGTCCAGCCCAGCACCATCGCAACAATATCTGTCGCCACAGCAGCGACAGGCTTAATAGGTCCGTCGAGATTTCTCGTTACCCTCCTCGCCGCCCGCTCGGTTCATCCCCATTCCTCAGACCAGGGTCGTTGGCCAAGCTTCGCATCGCTTGCTTCCAAATTCTACACCCAGTCCTTCGTGGGAGACTGCATGGCTTATATTCGCTTTGGGGTGCCATCGCTGACTTTGTACCGTAAAAATAGCCTACGCTTTGTACTTTGACTATCAGCGTCGTGCAAACCCCAATTTCCGCAAGACTTTGCGACGTGAAGAACGCCGACAAGTGCGTGCCGAGAAGGAGGAAGCCGTTGCCCAGACCAAGCAGAAGCGCCGTGATATCCAGGCTGCTGTCGACGCCGCCATCGAGGAGGGCTTCCCTGTTGGTGTCAACGAGAAAGAGCAGTACTTCATGGAATACGTACAACAGGGCGAGGTCTTGGCTTCTGATCGTAAGCATAATCCGATCTATGTCCAGTTTCTGTCCATCAAAGACCCCGCGGTCAAAGTGGCAGTCCAATTTTTTCCAACGGGGCAATGGGAGGATGCAACAGAAAAAAAATGTTACTTTGGCTAACCAGGTTTTTATAGCAACACGCACGATCGATGCTGCTCTCGCTTTCTACAAGGCCCTCAAAGTGTACCCGACACCCAGGGATCTCATTTCTATTTATGACAAGACAGTGGATAAGGTACGCATATCGCTCCTACTCATATTCAAGCAAGAAACGCCCCACCACTAACTGGCGACTCCCTGAATGTAGCGAGTGCTTGACGTCCTCGCCGAGATGATAGCATATGACAAAACCCTAGATCTGAACAGCCAACCTGCGGCTGTAAACCTCGCCGACCTAATGGGCGACATCCCCACCGCCGGCCTGGACTAAAGAACTAATTATAACACATGTCCGTGTTGATCACGGAACTATCGAAACTCACAACCTCCACTCAACTAGCAGGCAGGCTTGCGTAAGAACATCTCGACCGGTGACTTCACCCTGCAGCCAGCTCTGCTACCCACTGTATCTTCATCAACGCATGATCCATATTTGATGATTTATGCATTGGAAGTATCCAGTTACCGTTTTGTGTTCATCTGTATGTGTTATGTAAGATATAATATTGGGCAAAAGACCCGGTTTCGTTCATCCACGGCGTGGGAGAGGGGCCCATTCCATCCGCAGGCCTCGGGCGAGCAAGAAAAAGACGTTAGAAAGGAAAAAGGATTGACGATTGGATGGTCAGCCTATCCTTATGTATACTTTTTCCCTTTCACGAATTGAAGTTTGGCGGCGCGATATAGAAACGTGATGAATGAAAGAATAACAACACCTATTATCATCCTTACTTAGTGTACAATTGTCCGGAACTCCGCATTCGCGAATCTACTTTACCCCTTTTGATATTCTATGCTCCCAAGAAGTCGTACATGAGACCGATAATGCTCAGTTCAGCTCATATAGATAACATACAAGAGCTAGTATTGCCGCTTATTCCTTTTTCCTTCTTCACGAAGCAGCCTCAATTTTCCTACCTTTACGATCAACCCGCTCGTCCCGGGGGTCGAATCCACCGTTGCCCCAGGTCGCCCATTCCGGCGTCTCGGGACCCATGTAATCCTCGGGCTTCCAATCGCCGTCGGGACCGTGCTCCTCGAGAAGCTCGAAGAAGCGCTGGTAGTCGATGCGCGTGTGCCACTTGCCGTCGACGCGGAAGCGGCCGCTGGCGATGAGCACGCAGCAGCTGTGGGCGTGCTCGGCGGCGATGCCGTAGTCGAGGCCACGCTCGCGCAGCTTCGCGTTAAGCGCCTCCACAAACTCGACGACCTCGGCGTAGAATGGCACATTGGCCATGCTGAGGCCGGCGCCGGCGCTCGTGGAGGTCCCACAGTACGTGACACCCTTGATCTCGACGAAGCAAGGGAGTCCGCGCTCGACGAGGTCCGCGTAGCCCTCGACCTCGTCGTCGACATTGAAGCCCTTGACGAGCGTCAGCCGGAACACGGTGCGGTGCTTGAAGCGCTTCTCGCGCAGGATGTCGAGACAGCGCTGGAACCGCTCCCAGAAGTCGCGGTGCAGCGGTCGGTCGATCTTGCGCAGGGACTCCTTGTTGCTCGCGTCGATGGAGACGTAGAGCTGCGTCACGGCCTTGAGGGCCGCGAGCTGGTCTGGATGCTGCGCGTTGCAGACAAGGAAGCTGGAGATGCGCTCCGCGTGCAACATGCCTAGAAACTCGTTAATGTGCGGGTAGAAGATGGGCTCGCCGACGAGACTGAGCGCGCAATGGCGGATACGCATGGCCTCGGCGAAGCGCTCGGCGCGCACCCCGGGGACGCCGCGCATCATCTTGATTTTCTTGTAGTGGCCCTCCTTCACGCCGTCGAAGATCATCTCGGGAGGATCGACGACCCAACGCCAACTCGTCCCGACCGGGTTTGTGCCGTGACGCCAGCAGAACACACACTTGTTCGAGCACGAGAGGGACGGCGTCGTCTCCATGCACTGGTGTGAGGCGATTCCGTAGAACGAGTACTTGTAGCAGGAGCCTCGCCCGCGCAGAGCCGATTTCGTCCACCGGCAGATCTTGACGCCCGAGTGTGAGCCCACGATGGTATAGCCTTGTTTTGTCAAGGCCGTGTGCGTGGGTGAACTCTTGGGGACCATCTCTTTGATAGGTTGTGGCGCTCTTTTCACATTTGATTTGCTATATGTGGTGAAGTCAATGGCAATAGGAGCAGAGCCTTTAGAGTCAATCGAGTTGGGTTGATTTGATTTCATGATTCGTCCTAGATCTTCGACATCTTCAATATTTTTGGGGGTTTTCTTGCTCTTTTTCTTGGGCGCAGTCAGCCCTTCGACCAGTACTTCATCGTCATCGTCCCCAGAGGCATATTCGAAATCGCTTTCATCAGCATCTCCACTCCCCGGTACCCCATTCCCTAAGCTCCCCGTGGTTGCAGCAATTTTGAGGACGTCTATTACTCCCCCAGTCCATTCTGTCAAGCGCTCAGTAAGATCCTGCCTTTTATCACCCATACCCAAGGGAAACGCCCTTTTTCGACCAGTGAGTTTAGCCATCCATCTGTCTACCTCTTTAGCTTGAAAGCAAAAGCCCTCTTCTTCGGTCGGCCATCCTTCTCGATCACCTAGCCCAAAAACCGAATAGCCTACTAGCCCTGAAAGTGGCGCCGTGTCTATTCTGAAGTCGTGGTGGGTCTCTTGGAGGTGTTCTAATAGATTATCGTTGATGGAATCGATATTGTAGCTTGGTATCAAGAATAGATAGAAATAATCAAGAGATATAGTGGGGTCCGTGGGTTTGGGGGGGCTGATAAAATATTCATCGTAATCAATTTCCGCAAGGTCCAAGGCGCTAGGCGAAACGAACATGAGTTCTTGCTCAGCATCCCCTCGTAGGGCAGCCCCGAGGCTTTGGGCGAAGTCATTGGCGATCTTTTCAGTCGTGGTCGTCAATGATGAGTAGAACACAAGGACTTGAGTGCGACGACTACTGTCGGGGCCAGATGATCTTCGCGTACCTTCAGGTTTCCGCAACTCGCCCTTGATGCGTCTCGGCCCATTTGCCGATACCTCTTGGGGCGACGCTGCGCGTGGTGCGACCGATTTCTCAGCTGCGGGAGTAACAGGTTTAGCTGAAGTAGCAGCAACGGCTCGCTTCTGCGGCTGCTTGACAGCCCTTCTTGTCGGAAGAGAAATATATAGCATGTACAGCGTGGAACAGAGACATATCCCCACGACTACAATGACCTCCCTATGAGCATGCCAAAATTCAATGAAGTCTATTGAATGGGTTAGTCGCGAGCGCCCAGTTACGCTGAGAGCTTGATAGACTCACCTCCCGGCGACCGCGGTCCGTTTGACACCGTCGTCTGGCTGTCCTCCATCTTATTCGATACTCTGAAACGAGGAAAGACACTGAATTTCAAAAGATTATATCGACACAAGCCTACCTATGGAAGTTGGGTGGAGGGGCGCTTATCAGCAATGCTGGAGGGGCAAGTCTTGATTTTCGGTGGAGTCGGTTGTGGAGACGGCCTGACACAGTCACTGGCCTCTGCTGGCCCACGGTGTTCCCCTGCCATTGGGGGGTGTGAGATTGCACTTAGTCAGCCTCATAAGTGCGATGCATGTGGCTTTTTGCTTGCACAAAGAGAGCCATCTTCAATCTTCAAAGGACGTCTGACAGTGCTAGTGCTCATATTAAAGGAGATATAAATCGCACCTTGGACAGATTGACAAGTGGGACTGGACTGTATGGCAATGTGCTTCACATCTCATTTGACAACGGCTCAGGTTATGTGTTGACATATGTAATTAAAGTACACTCCTCCTCCAAACAATAGAATACCAGTCTACAAGAGTGAGAGTCCATACCCCCCGATGTCCGCCCACAACTAGTGTTTTGAGTATCATGGCTATCGCCCGCAGCTTGAATGTTCGATCATCTCAAGCTCTCTTTCTATAACGCTATCTCTATGCATCAGGGTCACTCGACTCATCTTTCACTTCCGGCTTCAAGTCCGATCGAGCACTGATATAATCGAGGAGTACATCGCGCGCCCAGCAAATCGTAACGAGAACCGCCAAGGCGTTCCATTGATGCTGGTTTCTCTCTGCCATATGAAGCTGGCAAGGCACGTGAATTATAGCATCAGGATCTGAAGCATCCAGTGTGACAATAGTGATGATATGCTTCATAATGACGAACCCAAAGATAACGGGAGCTTCCACAAGGTCATGGGCGGTCGAAGCATGTGTCCTCCATTCTTCTGCTAAATTGCACATTTCGGTTTGAATTTTGACTTCAGAGTCCGGCTCGTCATTTTGCGTTATTCCCTTAAGCTCCATTATCTTCACATTGGGAGGTAGCTGGTCGCCATAATTATCAATTCCGCCGTCTTGCTTTGCCCAATCTACGGCCTGCTCAAGGGCACGTCTAAGTCGCCCAGCCATAGCAGCTGATAAACTCTTGATGAACTCCCGCTTTACGGCCTCGGCCTCTTCTGTATCGTTTTTAATCACGGCCTCGTCTCCCCGAATGTCCTGGATACGTGCGTGGACATCTATCAATTTGCGAAGCGCAAGAGCACCTTTTTGGGGGTGTCAGCTGAGTAGTTCGCAAGTGCGCCTTGGACTTCACTTACCTCGGTATTCCAATCTCTCGGTACGTGCGTAGATTCTAGGGCGAATACTCTTCGATTTCATCTTTATATAAAAAAGACTATCAGGTAGCGGAATACCTCGAAAGTGCATCTTCCAAGTTAACGGCATTAGTGTAAACTCATTTCGGGCGTTTAAAATCGTGTTGAGGGATATCTGCTCTGCACGCCATGCTGTGTCAGGGTCGGGCTCATTGTCTGAGCCAGGTTTCGGAAATACATCAGGTCCTGAATCGGAGTTATCTTCCTCATCTTGGTCTGATTCCATGTTGGGCTTCGCAAACGGGTCCTCTTCTGAATCTAGTTCATCTTCTGCAAATGGATCATCATCTTCTTGTAGCTTAGCCTGTTGTGCTACCATTGCCGAAGGGTCTCCGATGCTCTCCTCGTCATCCTTTTTCTCTTCAATCTCACCATCTTCCGCATCTTCCAGCTTAATTTTCAAAGCCTGCCTTCCTTCACTATTGACTCCCTTGGTAGACTCGGTAAATACGGCCAGGTCGAATGACGGCTTACATTCTACACCTGCCTCCCGCTTTTTCTCCTTATGCGGGCTGTAGTAGACAGAAGGTTTGCGCTTGGTGACATTAGGGGTAACTTCGGCACGGGCAGGCTTTGTCACACGACCACTTAGTACTCTGTTGATACTGTGACCCGAGCTTGAGGGAAGACCTGAGTCGTCTGAGGACCCGGACCCGGAAGATTTGGCGAAGAACCATCTGCTAAAAGCTGACATGATGGCAGCCAGGCTTTGGGCCGTCTTCCGATGCCCTAGCCCTAGGATTCAGGTTATAGTGATATTCGAGGAGAGCCAAGAAAGTAACCTAGCAAATAAGTGATTTGCCCCAGCTAGAGGAATTGCCTGGCGCTTGCCGCTCTTTGGCGAAACAATCGTGTGATGGAAGCTTGGGGGGTTGCAGATTCAGCGTCGACCGAACGTTTGGAATCCCTATTATGCGACCTTGTTCAGGTGAACGAAAGCGGGTGGGATAAAATGGTGCTCAGCAAGGTCATTGTGGGGTGAGTAAGACATGGCAATCCGAAGTAAGTCCTCGAACAAAGGAACGATGCAACACTTGTTAGGGAATGTCAGTGTGTACACATGCAGGGAGGTAGGTAACTTGCCCACCAGGACGCATCTGCTTACCTACCTACCTACACGGGTACTTTATGTAATTCGATAGAAGGTAAGGTAGATTCTGTGGTGAAGGGCGGGTAGGCACATGCAAATGCGCGCTGTAATCTGAACGCATAGGTAGGAATGTACAGGAATATACCCAGCGATTGTTCTTCTGCTTCATTCATCCTTGTAGCATCATGCAATTCCTACCTTACTTCGTACATGTAAGTACATTTTAGGGAGCTGCACAACACAGCCCGAGCTACATGTAGATGCACCTGTCTACCTACCTGCAGCAAGGACAGCCTCTTCATACTTTCGCAGACACCATGCCTGATCTGCTCGCTGTTTGTAGTAGGAGCATCGAATCTGTGACAAGAGATTGAACTTCATAGATGGGATTTGATAGAACTACCTAGGTACTACCCTATGATGTCACTAAGTACCGAGCTTTGGGATAGATACTACCTCAACTGGTTAATGCCCACCTGCGCACCATCGATATCCCGGATTATACAATCTCCATGGGCGGCTCTAGCAATGAGCGCGGCATACCCACTAATTAGCCTGTATCCGGGCTACTTAAGAATCTGACAGCCTGCGGCCGCCTGAGCTACCGGCACCTACTACCTACCTACTGTATGTACTGTAATCCACAGTACTGTACGGTTTATTGCGATACCCGACACCTGCAGGGCCTCCTATCGTTACAGCGCGACCAACAACCTGGAACGCGCCAGAGCCCAAAGCCGATCCGGTAACTTGGTGGTATTTTCGCCTTCACTTCTTCATCCCGTCAATCTAGTACCACTTACTTCCACACGCCTCACGCGCTGCCCTGTCTGCTACTGAAGAGGCAGTTTAAGTACCTCGCGCGCTCTGCAGACAGCGCGCCAGCCTTTACTCTTTGTTACCTACTTAGTATTATCATCGCAAAAATAAATGCCCAGTGTCTACAGTCTCGACTGAAGCTTGACCCCCCCTGCTCCTGTCTTCTTTAAGTATACAGATCTTCTCACACCACTGCGACGTCAGGCAACTGCAGATACAGTACATCTTTCTAGTCTCAGTGAACGTTGCTACCGTCGCACACGACCTTGCTCACGTTATCTCTCATTCCCTCCCTCTTTCGAGGTGCGCGCACCTCCCCGGTCCCAGTCCTGCAAAAATTGCCCTGCCGATACCATGGCGGACTACAGCAAGATGAAGGTTGTCGAGTTGAAGGCCGAGTTGAAGCGCCTAGGCTTGCCGCAGAACGGGCTCAAAGCCGAGCTTGTTTCCCGGCTAGAGGAAGCTGCAGCATCCGAGACTCCTGCTGAGCCAGCGGAAACGGCAGACATCAGTGAGACGCACCCGTCTGAAGACGTTGAGCCCGTGAACGAGACGTCGGAGATGGTTGAGGCTGCATCTCCCACACAAGAAAATCCAGCCGAATCAGTCGTGGCTCCTGCCCAAGCTGGGTCTGCAGACGATACTCCTGCGCAAGTCACGTCGACTGCCACAGTCTCCGAGGAACCATCTCTTCCAGCAACTGAAGTGGTCCAGGATGTACACAAAAGAAAGCGACGATCAATAACCCCTCCACCTTCCGAAGATGCTGCGCGCAAACGACTGCGACCAGATGATTCAGATCTAAATCACGATGCTTCTCTGAACCCTGCGTCTAGCAGTGACAAGACATCCAAGCTTGAAAATGAGGCGGCGGATCATACTTCAATGCTAGATGCTGATGCTGATGCTGATATAAGCGCTGAAAAGGCGGATGTTTCTATGGATAAGGCACCAGAGCCAACTAAAGAAAGCATTTCAAGGAACATAGATTCAACTAATGAAGTCGACGAAATTGGAGACACGCATGCTGCAAACAACGGCGGGGCAACCACTACCGTGGACAGCTTGGAAGACCCAGAAGATGGTGTTATGGTGGATGACGAGGCAACGAGAACTGGCGCTTTAGATCAAGACCAGGAAAAGCGCTCCCCTTCACCCGAGCGAGATATCGAACCTTCCATGCATCCCGCGACTTGCGCATTATACATTAAGAATTTTATGAGGCCACTGCGACCACAAGCTGTCCAAGATCACCTTTTGGAGCTTGCAACACCCGCAAACACTCCACTTGACCCCAGCATCATTGTCAACTTCTATCTAGACAACATCCGCACTCACGCCTTTGCTGTTTTCACATCTATCTCTGCAGCTTCCCGCGTACGTACCGCACTACACAAGCGTATTTGGCCTGACGAAACCAATCGCAAATCTTTGTGGATAGACTTCATTCCACCTGAATATTTTGAAGATTGGATTAGTACAGAGCAGCAAGCTAGAGACAAAGGCAACATGCCTCGTTACGAAGTTATCTATGAACGCGACAGTGACGACAGCATGACCGTTAGGCTAGAAGAGACGGACGCCAATCAACCTACTAGACGGGTGCCCGTCTCTCCTGTTGCTCATCCTGATCGCAGACCTTCAATTCCGACTGGCCCATCACGTCCTTCTGGAATTGAGAATGCACCCACCGGTCCCCGTAATCCGTATGCCCACAACGGACCTCCAGTCATGTATGCAGATCGACAGGACAGACTGGACTCAGGCTTCATTAAGACAAGATCAACCCCCCAGATTTTATATCGGCCTGTAGCCTCCGAGGTTACCAACCGACGCCTTGACTGTCTTGCACAAGCGAAGGACCCGCACTACGATGAGGAATCTGGCAAAGATTACCACAGATACTATTTCGAGCGAGAAGACGTATTAGTCAACCGTGGTCCTGAAATATTTCTAGGTATTCGGCCTCCCCACAGGGAGAAAGAGCGACGCGAGCTCGCACGCACTGGTGGCGGTGATGTTCGCGACCGCAGCTTCCGCGACCGCCGTGGTGCTTTTGGGCCTCCGGGTGGAGGAGGTGGTGGGCGACGTCGACGCAATAGGGCGCCACGTCACGGCGTCCCTAGAGGTGGCGACCGCTTTCGTCCTGGATCAAACTATGACGATCGATCTGCGCCGGACGAACGACACATGCCACGCCGTGACGGCTATGGTGGAAGCAATCGCCGCAAGGATGGCTATAGACACTAATAAGCTACATTGCCGATGTTGAGGGATACGGCATGCCTCAACAGAATTCAGTCGGCTTGGAATATTTTGGTCCCAACACCTTCCGGGCCGTACATGTACAATACAAATCATGAACATCACACTAATCTTCGACGAAAAAAAGATAAAAGACGGGGTTTGCGCGCGTGTTGATCACAAGAGCAGGGACATTGATTGATATGCTAGACTTTTCTCTATTGGCATGCAAGGGGATAGGAAATGGAGGATTGGAAGGATATCCAGACTGAGGTTTAAAGGATGAAGCTTGTTGTCGGCAGGATTTTCCATTAATTTCTCGGATCATTTCCCACCCCTCAGAGCATTAGAGAGTAGCATCAAGCTTGCATGAAAGCACCAAGTTAGGGTACTGATAAGGTACCGTTATCAAACGCCAATTGTACTTAGAGTTTAGGGCAGTCGTGGACATAAAAGTCATTTTCAACACTACCTAGTATCTCCCAGATATCCTTTCTGTAGGTAAATCTGAAATGGGAAGGAAGGCTAATCAGAGAGCGGCTATTACTGCTTACGATTGACCTTGGCTCGGTATCTTCTAGCGCTCGTGTCTGAAAGCGGTGGCGACAGGGCGAGGGGTTTTCGTCAGGGTTGGCGTTGAGGCTCACAGCTCCGAAGACAACCAGCAATCAATCTCCAACCTAGGACACATCCAGATAAGATGCAGATATCTAACCGTACATCGCCTCGCTTTTTCCATATACTAGGCAGTGGGAAATTTCGTCGAGGAGACTACCCAAGTCTCCAAGCTTCCCGTAAGCGGAGGCAATCATCCAAGTCATCTGTGTACATGAGAAATCCGATTGACAAGACCCGTTTCAAACGCGCAAGGCGCAACACGTATTCAAGGTATCCAAGATCTATAGAACTGAGTACGGTCCTACCTCGAGCACAGCGGTCCTCACAAGTCGGGTCATAAGTCGAGCGTAGGTACCAGATTTCTACAGCTTAGGGTGTTCTGATCTAATCATTACCTTCGGTCTTATATGTGAATTCAACCCATATTTCTCCCCAACGCCTAAATGTCAGCGTTACAATGTATATAGTAGGCGCTTATGTCCGCAACTGATATGTAGTTCAACTACTTTAGAAGGGAAAAAGTATTGCCCTCGATATGGCCAGGTTCAGCCCCGGACAATCAAGGTAGGCTCGGCGAGGATACATTTTGAATCTCGATTGTTAGCTATGTAGCTCGTGGCTCATAGAATGTTAACTTGCTCGCGTCATGTGAAGGGATGGCTCACGATCGCCGCGACATTTCTATATGACTTGGCATAGCTGTTACCTAGCCAAAGTAAGAGGTCTAATAGAGTGCGCCTTGCCTTAGACATGCACCACCATACCAGGAGTAGCTCTCGTAATGATATAGACCTAATGTTGAGGATGGCAATGCTTTCACAAAATACTCTTTTTCACGTACTCGGTTCCTAATTTTTTTTATAATGCCGTTTATAGCGCACCAAGCTCTTTCAATTTCGAAATCATGCCATCAACATCTTCGACCTTACCACCACCTTGTCTCGCGGGAGGTTCTATATATATGCGTTAGTAAGATATGTCTTCAGTATTAATGGTGCACGCCAAGGTTGACACTAAAAAGTATAGGGAATAGGGAGGAGCCAGTAACGAAATCTCGAGCTATGATGGAAGCAGTCCCATAAGAGGGAGCCAACCTCGGGTGTGAAATTCATATAACATACCCGTAACCTTAACAATCTTCAGTTTCCTTTCATTTGTCACACCTAAGTCGGAAAGGCTCATCTTGACTAGGGGCTTCTTCTTGGCCTTCATGATGTTCGGCAGACTGGCATACCGCGGCTCATTGAGTCGCAAATCTGTGGTGATAACCATAGGTAATTTCGCGCGCACTGTCTCCACGCCGCCATCAACCTCCTTCGTGACTTCAACGCTATCGCCGCTGAACTCGACACGGCTTGCTTGTGTAGCTTGTGGCCAGCCGAGCAAGCCAGCGAGCATCTGACCTGTCTGCGCGGCATCGTCGTCGATACTCTGCTTGCCGAGGATGACTAGATTGCTCTTCTCCTTGTCCACGACAGCACGCAGCATCTTCGCGACAGTCAGGGGCTCGAGGGCCCCCTCATCCCCGTCGGCCGTCTCTACGTGGATTGCTCTATCCGCGCCCATGGCCATGGCAGTGCGCAGGGTATCAACCGCTTTTGCAGGACCCGCGGAGATGGCGCAGATGTCCTCAACGCCGCCGGGGGCCTTCTTCTTCTCTCGAATGCGTACAGACTCCTCGATACTGAGCTCGTCAAATGGATTCATCGAGTGCTTGACACCGGCCGTTTCGACGCCCGTTTGGGCTTTGTTTACACGTGGTTTGACCTAGTAGCTCGCAATGGCAACTGTCAGCTTTTGTGTAGACATGTTATCTGCGGCTTGTGATACTCCATGCCAAGGAAATTACCGAGATCCCTCGCTCAGGTCATAGAAAGTAAATAGAACGCGCATGGTAACTAAAGCGGGATACCTGCTGGGACTGCTTACAGCATAATCAATGACCCGTTTGACGGGGACAAGGATCCGTAATGCCGACATTGTGTTTAATTCGAATGCTGCGACTCCTCTAGATATTATATCGTAGCAATTGAAGCCAACAAGCGCAGTTCACGAGAAATGTAATATGAAAGCTGCGTTTCGGCAGTCAAGCAGTGGCAGCCCACCTTCGATGACGGAGAACCCGGCGGTAGCCGGCGCCGAGGTTAACACTCACGTGACAAGTCCTCCTCATCCATTCCCAAACGCCTTCAGGACATGTTTGATTCGAAATATAACAAAATAGCGGCATTCAAGATTTAGTCGCATTCAATTTCAGGTCAAATATTAGACGTATTGATGCGTAATCGATCATCCCATTTCGAGGATATCTCCATGTGTACATGTATATCACCAAGAGCCACTACTGGTCTCCACTTGCGCCAACCCGAAAGAAATATGTATATCCGTATACCTAGGTAGGCAAGGTATGTAGGCTGCGGCGAGGTAACTCTACCTAGGTTGACCACAATCCGCTTGAAAGGCTAGAACATTGGACGACTTTTGCCGTGTGTCGTAGGCTAAGTCATCGTAAGGAATATAAACCTATGTAGAGACAATGCATCTTGTGGGAATTTACCTACCTATTCCCAGGGCTCCATGCGCTGAGGGGCGCTGACGTAAAATTGAAGTCAAAATACAACGGAGCCTCTACTTCACGGTTCGGGCCCCTTTTGATAACCTCACACCTGTCAACTGAATAGACACGCTATCCAGGCTCCATCTAACCCTATGACGAGGTAGGTACTAGCAAATATTTAGAGATGTATATAGTTAAAGGGAAATTCATCGACCCAGACGCTGCCATGACCCTTTAAACGCTTCGTTACCCTTTCCATGCCCCTACCTCAATCACCAATCATCCCACTCATCGTCATTAGTCTTTCCTGACGCAGGCCCGGAGTTCTTTCCCGGTGCCTTGCCCATGGCTGACGTGCCAATGGAACTGTACTTGGCGCCAGTACCATGCCTTTGGTCCGCAAGCGACGAGAAGTCGTCCCAAAAGTCTTTTTTGCTTTCGTCGAGCGGTGTTTGGTGTGACCTACTGCTGCCGCCTCCATCGGGCCCCTCAACGAAGCGGTTGAACCTTTCCTGGGCGCTCACAGCACCTACTTGAGCGGCCCGGCCTACATTGCCTGCTGCAAACCGTGCCTGTGCTGCGAAGTCGGAATCTGAGATCTGTAGGAATAGTTATCTTTTAGCGACCTTCCATGCAACAGCCTCCGAAGCTGAGGCGGCAAATATGGTAGACTTGTGGCAGGAAACGGTGATGGATGAGTATCAGGCAGGAGTAGAGCTCACCTGCTTAGCCGTAGGCTGAATAAAATCGTCATTGATCCCCTTGGCTGTCTTTGTTACTGTGGATGTGAACCACCCGAACCCTTTCGTAAGTGCCGCTACGGGGTCCTTCTGTAGTTCTCCAAAGTCCGGTATACTCGAGCTGCCGCCGGTCGTATTTGTCGGCATGGCCGTGTTTCCAAAGCCTGCATACTTCCCTCCTTGGCTCGGCGGTAGATCGTCGGGCCGTGACGCATTCTCCTCCCCCAAGCGCGCAAAGTACTTATCGTCGACCTTTGCCTTTGTACCACCAACCTGGTGCGGGCTCTCAGTCCTCTTCGTCCCGCTTAGCGGCGTACCGGTCCTGCTAATTTGCCGCGATCCACTGGTAGGTGGTTTTGCAGCGACACTTGCGCTGGGTTGTGGTGTGCTCCGTCGTTCGGCAGGGACATATTCTCTATCTTCAACCTTGGCACTGAGCCTCTCCTTCCACTCCTCGCCAACCTCGCCACTATACCGTTCCGCGATAGTCGCATCGTCCCAGCTCAGACCCCGCATCTTGGTATCCTCATGCTCCTCGAAGAATTTGCGCCACCTTTCGTTGCCACCTAGTCGCATACGCTCAATCTCGGCCTGCTTGAAGGCGTCCATGGTCACGGAGCGCACAAAGGAGATATGGACGCCGAGCCCGCGGTGCACGCCAGCGCATGACAAACAGATGAAGACGCCGAATTTGGGAGATGCCCATTGTGGGTTCGGGGCGTTGCAGTCGCAACAGTTGTTGTTATCGTTGGTTTTCTGTATGGCGAGGAGCTGGAGAGGTGGGCACAGGTCGCATGGTCAGCAGAACTGAACGTATTGGGAACGAAGGTGAACGATCCTGGGCGCGGAATGCACGTACCTTTGACCTCGTCTCGGGATCGACTTCCCACATTTTGTGGGGTTTTCTTGTTCCTTTTTCTTGAAGAATAAAACTGTTTGCGTCCGTTCTCCAAAAGAATTGTACGCCTCAGAGAGTTATCACAATAGCGTACTTTCCCGTATCCTGGGCGTGTGAAGAGCTTGATATGATAGGTATGGATAGTACTCTGGTAATGGCGTAATTATCCACCATGCCTAGCTTGAGTAGTATTCCTTTTGGAGATGCGTTGTTCGCTCAGGAGGTCGATTGACAGGCTCTGATTGGTCAGATGGCCCTCAGTCTAAGCTCCGAAGTTCTGCCAAAGATGTCATACCCACCTAGGCTGTGACAGACAGGCAGGTGGGCATCTCGAGTTTAACCAAACATGCTCCAATGTTCGACTGACTCCCTTGCACTTCTTTGTGTGGCAAAGGCAGGAAAGGGATTGTCAATGATTTGGTACAGCGGGGAAATTCTAATCTACGCGTAATCATTCTACTCTGGCTACGTTCCGAGTAATTCAGTGTGTAGGTAGTGAAGTATCAATCAATATCGTTCAACCCCCCAGCGAACAACATCTGGACATATGGCGTCCTTTCTGAGGGTCGTCTGCAGATTTCAAATACAACTTTCAGTCTCATTAAACGAATCAGTAAAGGCATTGTTGATTGAATTCACTAAAGACACACAATAGGCTAACTATCGTGCCCAAAATCAATCACTTGTATCTCTATTTTCGCTCGAGAACTTTTCCCAGTCCCATTTAACGCCCTTTCCGGCGACCACCTAGTGTACAATCCGAGAATAATGCGTAAGAGACTGAGAAAATAAACCCGTGAGAATGGATATCGATGTCAGAAGCATAAACATCATGGCCCGTCGTCTTATCAGAAAATGCACCGGCGTAGCTCTCACGACAGCGCCATGTCGGTAATATCAAAAGCCATATCAACTACTGGTCTCGAGTTCGTATCTATCATAAATTCGGCTGATCCTCATCCATCGCTACAAATGCTCAACACCTGCGCAGACAGCATGCTCAAATGATGTTCGCCAACGGCAGTAAGAATGATTGTCTGGCTCCACTCCTCATCATCAAAATCGGCGCATGCTAACACATAGGAGTGGTAAAATTAGGCAGTGGTGGCGGTGGGGGCCGCCGCCTCCTGACCGTTGGTCTCACTTTCGTGAGGAATGTTGGCCTCTTCGTCAGTCTTGTCGGGACTGTCGATGGCAACCTTGACAGCAATCTCGCGACCCTCGATCTCCTTGCCGTTCATCTCCGTAACGGCCTTTTGCTGCATCTCCTCGGAAGCGAGAGTAACAAAGCCGAAACCACGGCCCTTACGAGCCTCACCGCGGGCTTGAAGCTTCTTGATCATGAAACGGGGAATGGGTCGAAGTGCAATCTTTGCAGAAGAAGGCTCATAGGCCTTGAAGAGATCCTTAAGCTATTGGACGGTCAGAATCGTTTTCCGGTGGAGGTGGGACAGAACAACCCAGATACGTACAGTTTCCTCTGTGAGGTCATAAGGAAGGTTTGCCACCATGACCTTGTTCTTGGAAGGGATGCCATCAGCTGGGGGTCCACGCTCTCGGCGCTCACGAGCAGGCCCCTTCTTGGTCTTATCAGCGTCAGTATCGACCTTGTTGGTAACGTCGGTCAAAGGTAGAACCTCAGAGGTTTCTGGGAGAGCATCATCCTTCTCCGTAGTCTCCTCGCCGGCAGCATCCTTGCCGCCATCCTGGGTCAAGTATTAGCGTTTCCGCATTTCGAAATTCAGACCGGTTAGATAATCAGGATTCAACGTACAGCTCGCCCACCACGTCCGGTTCGGCCACCGCGTCCTCGACCACGGCCGCGGCCGCGACCAGAAGCCCGACGTCGAGAGCCCTCAGCACCTTCACCGCTGGAAGTACCCTCGGCCTTCTCGGCAGCAGGTTGAGGGGTGCGAGCTAGCTGGACAGAGACTTTGCGCTCAAGAATCTCTTTACCTGATAGTTCGCCGATGGCGCGTTCGGCCTCGCTAGGGGTGGACAGGTCGACGAAGGCGTACCCCACGGGACGGTCGGTACGGGGATTCTTGGGGATGGAGACAGACTCGCTGCAGGCGTGTTAGATGGCTAGCTTAAGCAGCAAAGGCAATCAAGCCGTAAACGAAAGTTCCCAAGATCGCGCTCAAAAACAGAAAAGAAATAGCAAGATGTCTTAGAGAGACAATTTAGCAGTATATAATCACTGCCTGTCGTCACACATAGCCTGCAGAGCAGCTTCTCTTCAAAGTTTGATGAATACGAAGCCCCAGATCCGTGGTGGTGTAGGGAAGGAACTAAAACAAGTCGGCGTCCCTAAACTGTCCTTGTCCTCTGATTCTTTCCAAGATAAAGATGTTGTTACAAGCAAGACAACCCAACAAGGTAGCCAATGCTCGACAATGAAGGGGGTGGACGGGGAATAGCAAGGGAAGACTTACACAAGGTAGCCCTTGAAGAAGTCCTTCAACTCCCCCTCGGAAGTCGCATAGGCGAGGTTGCCGATATATAGGCGGCGACCCTCAGCGGCACTGGCATGGACGGCGTCTTTGTTTTCGTCCTTGTTCTCAGTGAGCGACGTATTGCTCAGAGCGTTGGTAACGTCGTTGACAGCCTGTTCGGCAACCTGGGTGACCTTCTCCACAGCGCTGGCCATGATGTCTAGTGGATGTAGACGGGAGTTGGTTGGTGGTGCAGGAGGTAGAAATGCGTGACGTTTGCGGAGCGGTTCAGGATTTGAACGCGTGAACAACGTGTGATGTCGGGGGAGGAAGATAGGGTGGCTACGTGCCCTAGAGTGCTGGGAAGACTTGGGTGGTGGTCGGTTGTTGACACAAGTTGGCTTGATTGATGTGGATTGAGAGGTGTGAGGAGGAGAAAGGGAAAAGAGGGCTAAAGTACGTGCTGCGACGTGCCAGAAATTTTTGTAGGGTGTTTCTGATGCTTGTGGGCCCTTTGTCGACTGGGGCCACGGCAGGCGTGAGGCAAGAATAACGAATGGGGAAAGGGGCGGGTGGCAATCTTGGAGGCAGTGGCCAATCAAAAGGTGAAGCCGCGAAGATGGGTGCCGGCTAGGTTACCTCAGCGGATCGCCCACTTTATGGGTACGGACAGCTGCTAGATAGGTAGGTAGCAGCATTGAATTTAGCGTGCACCCGTCAGGAGGGAGGTAGGTAGGGCTGCTTACTTGCATAATCAACTACCTACCTAAGGTAAGTAAATAGGTAGGTAGGTACCTGAGGGATGCAGAGGTAGAAGAAGGCTGAGATGAGTATCTGTAGGTGGTGCGAGGTGGTGGTATATTCTAAGTATTCACACACAACGTTTCCGGAAGGAAGGTGTACGCAGCCTACTTGGAAGTACAACTTGCTTCAGGCAAACCTGCCCTAGGTAACTCGGAAGCCTATTGTTGATCAAGCCTAGGTACCTCTCCGTAGGTAGGTACTTATGTAGAATATAGGTACTTTAGGTTACCTATCCCCTACTACACACCCCCAATATTCTTTGTTTTCGAATAGAGAAGCAACTAATCATTGGCTTTGAAGAAGCACTTTTGTAAAATAAATACATAGATACTTAACCAAACAGCAGAAAGACCATCTGCACGCAACATTGTGTCGTTGCAGGCAACTGCCCCAATGCCTTGTGAGTGTACTAGGTAGGTACTCCAGGTGTGTAGCTGGGTAGGTACATTCTTGTTTTCTTTGATCGATTTGCAGGCAGGCGGCAGCCGGAGTATAACTAGGTAGACGAGGTCATGATATCCTCTATTCTTGAATTGAATGACACACTTGGCCACGTTTACGGGTCCAACAAGCTCAAAGGAATGCGCCGAAAAGCATTGCGGCATGCTCTGGCATGTGGTATGGGCCGCCCCCAAATACCTAAAAGACCAAAAGATACTAACCTACCTACCTAAGTAGATCAGTGCACTTTAGTACTGAATTTCTTGGGGCCACAGGGCTGATTTACCGCGTGTTTATGAGACCTCCCTAGGTACTACTCCATTCACATCATACATTACATAGGTATTGTCCTCAATGCATTAAGTCTTTGATTACTACTAGCTAGCGCATAGACGCTGGGGTGTAACATTGTTAACATATTTCTCATCGTACAATATGAGAGAGGTAAACAGCCACTCCAATGTTCAGAAACGACTGAGTCAGGCTTATGGCACAACATACAGATAAGGTCCTATGTAGCAAGAGGATTCAGTCCCATGTATACCTACAGGTTACAGAGTAGGTTCAAGGCCATGGCTTAAGTACATGTTTGTCTCTTAAGGTGGCATCTACTTAGTCGATAGGAGATTAAATTGCTTGAAATTACTTCGTCGTATGCAAGACCTGGAAATGGGGCAAACAACCGAAATAAAGGACTTGGTGCGACAGGGCCTGTCGATGCTGCCTTTTGGTGCTGACTCGCAATGCCCATGGTTACTTACGTAGGTAGTAGTTCATCTGATCTTGTACTAGGCATCCCATACTGACCGAGACATTCTTCACCTAGGTAGCTACCTAGATAGGTAGTGTAGTCTTAAGTAATATCCGACCTACCACATAGCTGCAGCACGATGGGCAGTCGGCAGTTGAAGTTCTAGAAGCTGTATCGATATCTAATAGTCCGGGGTTGTGTGAGAGAGAGCCGGGGGGTGGCTATGGAGACGTCTCCTGGGTGATCCAGCAACACCCACCGGCCACAAGCACCGAGAACTTCAGCTGCTTGTGAGGCAAAATGAATTTCCCCTTTCTGGGGTTCCTTGCGCATGACCTTGTCTTTTTCTTCGCTCCGAGGTTTCTTGTTTGCTTGCCATCCACTTCATAAGGCCGCAAAGCTAGCTTCTATCCTATTCTCAACTATCCATATCTACCTAGGTAGGCTACCTACTCGTTAGCATCATTACCAAGGTGGAATACATATGTACATACTAGGTGTGGCACTAAGGAATGGATTATTACCTACCAATGTACCTTTAAACTATCAGTAGGTAGGCAGGAAACTTCCAGCTTTTGGCTACTTTAGCTTACCGTAGTTGGCCATCTGTGAATGACACGTTGTCGGACAGTTATTACGTGCATTTCTAACGCACCAACCAATACATAGGTGGCGTGGCGTATGAGTGGCTTCTACCCTACCTACCGATATTACATACCAGGTAATGTGTGGGAAACGGATTTGTCGTAACATGCAGCATGTCTTTCACAATCGTAATTATGACTCAAGGCTATTTCTCAAACCCATTCCAGCGTTAGATATTGCATAGGTAGATGCTGCCTGCATTGTGTACGCCTTGGTAGGTGGTGAGGCTGTACTCGTTTTGTTAACCTGTCACAAACCACTCCCGACATTTGGAGAAGGGACTTGCGATTTTTTTTGGACAATTATAGGGGGATGTACTAAGCTATGCAGGTTATGTACTACTTGTATTCTTCAAACTGATTTACGTCTCTATCATAAACTTCCTAGGAAGTTCCTCTAGTAAACGCACTTATGTAGAACGGGTATGAGAGAAAAGCATATAAAGACACAACAGTAAAGACGGTTATAGAATTCAAAAATGTTAGATTAAGAGATTTCTGTTTTCATGCTACGACTGATCTCCCTTTGCATTGTTGACTATTCTTGTATAACTAGTGATCTCTCTGTATTAGTGATATGTGCGCTCTCATAATAAATAATCCTGCAGACGATCTCTGTACTGGTTGTCAGAACGCTCCTATCAAACGCCCTTTGTTTTGAGGAACGAAGGGCGTTTTCTTCCGCGCCCTTCATTCGCAAGCTCGGGTCACTAAACGATCGGTGCTAGCTGTTAAAAATTTCAGGACAGTCAACTTTCTTATAAACAATAGGGCACACGTCAACCTTCGACGCTGGGGCCACAGCATTGCCTTCCATGTTGAAGCAGCATTACTAGGACAGAGTGGAAACATCACTCGATTTCTTACTCAGAAGGGGGCAGATGTTACAGTGGCTGCTGAGCAGCCTGAGACTTAGTTTTGTTCAACTAATAATCCTCCAGGAGTCCTATTGTCCATGGTCCTCCTTCTTTCTCACATTCTATCGAGGGAGCTTATTGACATTTTCATACCTAAGCGGCCTCATATAATCTATAGCTGCTTTACTCTCTAAATCTACTATGTGAGTGACACACATGTTATTCAGTCTCCTTTTTGCTGAAGGGTTGATCAGTTGACCGTTCGCTCCATGTCCAATAATTTTAAAATCTCTACCTACTGGCCTTCGTAGTCAGACTTGGCACATCCATCCCCCGATTGTGGAGACTGGCTGGAATTGGGTTACAGCGTCGAACAGAGAAACGTCATCGCGCAGCGAATCTATGAACGCGTCGACATCACCTCGCGCTACTATCTCAAAGGACCTTTAGGTGGTGCTGAGCCTCTCGGGAAAGTTACACCGAGATATGCCGTTCTTTAAACTGGCCAAGCAGATGGGGGGCGGTCATCGAAATGGTGTCACGTGTCAGCGAGCGTCGGCCTAGACAGAGGGAAGCTCTGAGCGTCGAAAGCAGACGATGGTCTTGAAAATCGTTTCCCCTTCCCAAGCTCCATCATGCACTGTGGCGAGGTGGTTCAGTCTTCGCATAGAAGGCTTCCCATGTCACCACTTACTTTGATGCCCTCGTCTATGACTGGCGGCTCTTTCTCGTCTTAGCTGTATCCAAATCGTCGATTTAAAGTCGGCCACTGTCCTGATATGTGTAAATCCGAGCGAACAAACCAAGATAGGTACGAAAATGTTGCCAGGTAAACGCGTAGCTTCGACGTTCTCTTTACGCCAATGATTGTCGGTGGAACAAGGACTTCAGCAAGTGTAGAAGATACAGACCTTGGTTGTCCTAGCTGCAGAACAGCTACTCGTATATTGGTCGCTGCAGTGAGACAACGTTTCCGCCTCCGATGGTCGAAATAAGAAGCCATTACTTGTTCGGCTTATTTCTGTCGACAATTACTGTGACGATAGATTGTGGAGCATGAAAGGGCTTAGTATGTTCTGATTGGTATTCAGCCCCTGCATCCAGGCCCGCTAGGCTGGGGTAGCACGTGTACCTCTGAGATAGGTTTTACCATCCCGAATCGGAAAGGGAAGCTAACCTGAGCTACGCCGCTTTTAGCCTAAGACTGAGCCCTATCCTAAGCCAGACCCACTCTTTCATAGCCCAATATAAATAAAAAACTTATATAATCTTTAATATATATTCCACCTTAATTATATAAAAGTAAAGACTATTTTATAGTAAAAATGGATTTTAATATATATTATAGGATTTATTTAAATTATTTATTTAAATAACTTTTTAAAAAGTTATTTAAATATAATTAATTTACCTAAGTTAATAATATTACCTATATTATATATATTAACTATATTATTAAAATAAAAGTTTTATTATACTTTTATTATTTATTATATCTTTTTAAATCTTTTTATTTTTTAATTTATTATTTATTAAATAAGGATTAATAAAAATAATAATTAGATTTATTATATTAATTATATTTAAAAGAGCATTTAATAAAAATATTTATAGGAAGTTTTTTTTTATATTAAAAGTGTTATAATAATATTTTTATATATATAATATTAAATTCTTAACCTTTTTAAAATTTTAAAAGTTTTATAATATTTTTATTATTTAATTAATATTATAAGAAACCTTATTATTTATTATAAACTTTAAACCCTTTTATAATAATTAAGCTTTTAATAATTATTAGGAATATAATTATAATTAATTAATATTAATACCTATTTTAAGCTATAATAGCTTTATTTAATAAATTTAACGCTTAAATTTAATATTATATAAATGTATTAAAATATAATTAAATTATTAATAATATTTAAATAGCTTTAACTTATTAGTTTAAATTTTTAATTA